TTTAAAAATATTTTCCATTTTTTTTTTCGTGTTCCAGAGCGTTTTCTTTTGTTGTGCTTTCAAGAGATATTAATGTAATTCGAAAAACAATGCCGATGATCTTGTAAAAATGTTGAGAATAATAACCGGCCGAGTTTCTGGGTTCATAAGTAATTGAAAATTACAAAACATGAAGTTTAACTGTGTACTCACGTACAATAACAATAAACCTATGTTTATGTTGTTAATTATATCGATTAAAATAATAGGAATACTGTTTTTTTTAGTATTGTCTACTGCTTATAGAGTCTATGTCTACACCGAACGTGTTTAATCATGATATAGTTTCAATGAAAATCAGCTGGTCAGAAAATGCTTCACGATATTTAACTTTGTATCACCAATGACCAGTTAAAAAAAAAAAAAAACATTACATAGGTACGCAGTTAAATAATACAATGTTTTTTGTTGTTGGAACATTGTTATGGTAACATTTCATTTTAAAAAATCAGAATGATCGACGAAGGACAATTTTGTGATTAATTATTGCGTGTGAACATATTTTAATTTAATTATCAGTTGTAACATTAAAAAGGCATTGGTCAACATAATTGAACATAATACGAATGCTTTTATAATGTGGATCCGATTTGTTTTGAAACATATGGATATTTTTTGTTGAATTCTCGTCTGTAATCCTAATTCAAAATTTAAACAGTTTTATTATCACTTGAATTAAAAGCAAATATTGTTACTTGTTCTTTTTTCATATGCCCACCAATTAATGATCACAACAAAACTTCAAAAAACAAAAATAATTTAAATCCAACTGTTTTTAAAATATAACACTGAATAGTAAATATTGTTTCAAACACAAAATTATGAGAGGAAATCAAGAGTGAAGACTCAAGACAGTGTGCTGTACCTACATGCACCAAGTGCACAGAATAAGAATATAACCTTTTCAGCAGAGAAAAAAATTAATTAGGTACTGTTCCTAGAAGTATTTTTTAAGATTCTTATGCATTTTAAGAAAACCTGAACAGTGAACACTCTACCAGCTAAATATATGTATATTGTAAAATTGACATAATTTCTTATTTCATGACAATAATTCAAATGTGTGTGGGTTTTGTACATGGTATATTATATTAAAAATGAAAGTTATGTTTTAGAACAATAATATTCATAGTCAATCTTGTTGTAAATCTTCCTGCATTGCATTGTTTCAGTTATTATATTATAGTACCTATCTGTTTTATTTTTTATGAAATGAGTGCTAAATAAAAAAAGACAAGAAAGTACCTATACTCCAGAAGAATGTTTGGAAATATTTTTGAATTCTTATTGCTTTTAATGTCAAATTAAATATAAAATTAAATATATTGTAACCACAAATAATGACAACAACATTTTGTAGGTTTCCATAATTTGGGTAAGTGTAGTGTTAATTTAAAATTAAAAAAAAATCAAGGAACAAAAAGATAAAAAAAAATTGAATTGTATTTGTTTTGCGTACCATGATCTTTGGTTCAGTGGACAGCAGTTTTTGTTATTCATTTATTTTTCAGTCTGGTAAAAGAGTATATTGACTATTAAAACTAAGAGTGTCGAAAAGGTTTCGAATTAAAAGAAAAAAGCGCTATCGTTTAAAAACAAACATTAAGACAATGGGTTTATTTTTTTTCAACTTCACTGTTCAATATCACGTGAACGCTTAGAATACCAATGGATATCTATGGAGCTATTTTTTTTTAATACATTTGCATTTTACACACTGGATGAACATTAACGGATTATCCACTTCCACGAAAAATCAAATACAACTTAGCAGAAAAAATACCTAAAAAAAATATCTGTTAAGCGTGGCAGGATTATCTTAGTGAACATTAACTTCTCGTCGATTTTTTTTCTACCGACTTAACCCAATACGCATAATCAACTAAGCTAATATTTACCAATAATTTACCTAGAACAAGTGATTATCACTTTTGCGCTTTTTTTAATTTCATCATAGTTTGAAAACGGTTTTTGATTCGATTGTTTAATTTGTAAGAAATGGAGTAGAAAATACAATTGCTAACAAAATATACCTATAACTGGAGCTAAAATATAAGTGTACGCTGTACATGATAAGTAGAAATAGGTGTAGGAGTTGAATTATTATCTTTTGGTGAACACTTTAAATCATTCTATAGTTAAAAATTGACAAGAATACTCGAGATGTATTTCAAACTTTTTTCTTATCACATTTCTCCGTGTTCTTTATTTAAGAAACCCATAGAAAAACTTTATATCTGTATACTTAAAGATGTACAAAAGATAGGACTTTGAGTTTCGGGAAAAACGCTTAATAAACATGGCCACATAATATAAAAACATTTAAGTTTGTCACGTAGAAGCTGCATCATTATTCATTATAATATCAACGACCTATCAGATCATAACGAAGGTATTCAAATCAAAGATAAAAGATTTAGTTTAAAGCTCTTGTTACTGTACATGTATGTTCAGTGATGCACCAATAAAATATAGGTATTGTAGTTTGTTGATTATATAACTATAGGATAATCTATTGATCAATATGAAATAAGTATGTATTTATATGTTAATATTGATGAATATTGATGAACACATCTATCAATATTATTCGCGTTATAACAATGATCAATTTAATAAACAAAAGAAGTAAAAACAAATTTTATAAATTATCAATTTATTAGATAAGTAACTGTTATTATGGTCATAAATGATTTACAAAATAACAAAATATACCATCTATATTTTTAAAGAAAAACTTACTATTCTTGTTATAATATTGCATTGCTATTTAAAGTTTTGCTATCAATTAGGTTACATTTTATATTAAGTAATGTCCTCTGCCTCATATCATAAAAAATTAACTCATATTATAATAATAGTGACGAATCAGTTAACATAACGATTCACGGACATTTTATTAGAAATTGTTTCATTTCAATAAGATGTAAAAAATAATAATATAATTTTACATCCGTAGTTTGAAACATACAAGGTTATTGTATATATATATCCATTGCCAATCAAATGTTTGATGATAAAAATGGCAGCACAAAAGGAACTAGCTATTTTACATGAAATAAGAACGAATTATATTTCTGATATCCCTTTACGCAGCCATTGTGCATCTGATTCTAACAATCCTAGTCTATATTATGCAATAACCTGTATATTTCAACCATGATGGTTATATTATATACTATCAATTTTAGAATAAATTGTGGCCACTATAACGAATAATATTTTCTAAAAACGAAAAAAATGTGTCACAGCAATATTCTACTTTTTGAAAATATTATATTTTTGAAAAACATATTGATTTAGGACACTGCATCATTAATACGAACACACACATTAGATACTTCGTAATATACTCATAACTTTCATTAGCAACTTGTTTAAGTATAAAACATTGACAGAACCATTGAGCCATATAATAACAAGTCAATAGAAATGTACGCAGTTACAATATTGGGATTTAGTTCGAGTCGACTCGACTGGGTTCACCTGCAAGTTCGATTGCATACTTGCATGTCTTGGTATTATATTTTACGAACCATCACATTATTCCAGCAATATTTAATTTAGATTGCGCTTATAGATTAAATATTTCACGAATCACGATAAACCGTAATAACTCAAATAATTTGGCGTAGGCAGGTACGCTATTGTATTAATAATGTTATTGTTGGATAAGTCCGTAACAAATTACGAAGTCGAGACATAAAAACAAAACGCTCGTCAACGTAGGTACTACGATGAAAGTATGAATCAGTTATTTATGAATTTAAGACGTTGGGAAGAATATATTTTTCAAAGTTATTATGTTCCAATATTTAACTAAGAATTAATCAAATTAAAAATGTTGATACTTCAAAAGAAGAATTTACGGTTTGCATGGTATACCTCTGCGAGGCTCGCAGTTGTTGTCCTTATTGTAATATACATAAATTGTTTATTTAAGCAAAGAATAAAGGGACGCTTAAAGTCCATTTGTGGCCACATCAAACCGTTTGCGTGTTGTGATTTAAGTTCTGAACTTATTACGAGTTCGGGAAAAAAAATCATGTTTACATTTCATAGAGTACAAAACCATGAGAGACGGCATATATTATACCGATTTGATAGTGCATAAAATAACTCTTGATATTTATTTATTTTTTTATAAGTCAATATTTACAGACACTTGTAAGCATTTGAACTTGAATACATACAGAACTCGGTAGTTATACTTAAAAACAATATTGAAATCAAAATGAAAACACATTACATTTTTTTTCCTCATATTTTAGTATTCATAATATTCTAATAATAGTTGCATACCTATTATAATAATTATATCACTGTAGTACCTACACGACAGTGATACGTTTAATCGTCTATCAAAGGTATTAATTACAATTTCATTATAATTACAGTTTTTCACGAATAAAATAGTTGATCATAATTATTTTAATTGTAAGTATGTAATACAATATATTTCAAGGTAGAGGAGGTGTAAAAATAACATTTCCCATAACCCTTTCGAAATATACTACCTGCTGCTAGTGTTTCACTATTTTTCGAGCTCGCGTGTTTACCCAAGCCGTTTAATTTATTGCATTTCTAAGTTTGTTTCTGCAGGCGAAACGGCTATTTTTTCGTTGTTATAATGGTGTAACAACCTTAAATATGTAAATCAGAGTGCATGTACGAAAATTTAACATTGGAGACCGCCGAACAAATTAAAAATTAAAAACACCCGTCGTTCTTTTTAAATGTCTTCGGGACACGATTATTCACGATCATTACCCACAAGTTCCACCCAGTCCGACCGATATTTATTAAAACAGTTTTATATTTTATTTGACGATTATCGTCTGAAAGAAAAAAAAATGTACTTAAAACTCTAAAATATATTTTAATAATATATTGTAGTATAATATAATACCTAATTAAAAATATTTTAATATTTAATAATACACATCTCAAGTAGCACTCACCTGGGTTGATAACGTCACACGGGAGGACAACGGTGTCATTTGTCACCACTCTGAATCTTCTTCCTTGGGAACCAAATGTCGGCAAAGGATCCGGTTCCGGATTTTGAGTGGGTCTCTTGGGCGAAGCAAAACCTGTGAACAATAATTGAGTTATGTTTTAGTTTTCAGTCAATCAAATTCTAAGTATCGTAACCATATTATAATACATCAAATCACGTCATAACTAATCAGTTGACCAATCTGTTATACATATTTCTAGTCAACAAACAAGTTGTACTAAACAATAGTGTCTGGTACATCAACGTCTCTGGAAAAATTGAATGGAAACGACGTATTACAATTTAGAACATTCAAAAAGATACATTCATTCCTCAACATTTATTTTGTCCCATTAGCAAAACAAAATGATAATACGATACACAATAATATAAATATTATACTAATTATCATTATAAGCCTTAAAGTCGGACAATACCTATTATAGTGTGTTGTGTCGGAAGTGATCAACAATGTTCATGGCGCACACAGTAATATTATAATAAAATGCTTATCGACCATAATACCTTGATCAAAATTCTAGCTCAAACTAACTCGTATCCCTTATTTAAATTACGTGTTAAATGTTTAAGGACTAGCGGGAAATGTACCTATATACGTGCGTACCTTATCCACTGACGGATAGTAATCGTTTTCTGGCGCGGGACGGAGTCAAAACAAATTTCACTGCCCCCC